AAAAAAAAAAAAAAAAAAAAAAAAAAAAAAAAAAAAAACAGAACATGGCCAAGGGCCAAGGCAACATTTTCCCATGATCCTAGAGGGCACATGTAGACTATTAAGTTAAAAAATGCTGGGGCTGGGATATATGGAACCTAATACCCAGTCTTCTGATAAATACACAGAAAGACACAAGGGATGTATCCACACTGCAAAATATAAAGTTGTTTAACACTACTTTAATTGTCATGGCTTCATCCTGTGGAATCCTGGGATTTGCAGTTTGGTGAGGTATTCAGCCTGGTCTATCAGAGAGCTCTGATGCCTCACCAAATTACAAATCCCAGCATTCTGCAGGACAGAGTCATGGCAGTTAAAGGGGTGTCAAAGTGCTTTCATTTTGCAATGTTGATACACTCAGAGAGAGACCAACCAAGTCCAGCTCCCAGTTAACAATAACAAATTCAAACCAATCACCTCAAATTGCATATAGCATATCTTTCAACTTCACATTTACCCTCCTCCTCTTTCTCCTTCTCTGCCTTTTCCTGGAGGAACAAAGGCACATTATTTGGGATTTGTCTTCTGCAACCACTTTGGTATCAATGGGATCATTTCAAGAATAGATTTCTGGGTTTGGAGTTTTGTTTTGTTAGGTAGGGAACTGTTTCTTTCTCCACTAAACAAATTGGCAACCCTGCAACAGATTTTTTCATTTTTGGGAAAAGAAAAAGTCACTTGGTGATTGATGACACTAACAAAATGTCATCAATATGCCATAATAACTTCCGGGTGATAATTATTACTTTATGATACCTGTTTGTATGTCTTAATAAAAGCATGATGATTCAGAAGATGATGGGGTGGAGAAGCAGCTTTTATAGCCAATGACACAGAGAAATCTAGAAACACAATTTCATATTTAAAAATGAGTGCAAATCAATTTTTTGGGGGAGAACAGTAACTCCTTCCCTAACAAGAAAAGTGTAACTCTTGAAAGCTCTGGAGAGAAAGACTGATGGGTTTAAATGTTTCTTTCCTCATCAACAAGCATCTGCAACAAACTGTTCATGTATTCACACTTAGGTAAAGATGAGAGACATGTGCTCAGGCACACCATACTTTTCTTTGTTTTTGTCAAATAAGTTCTGCAGTTCCTGCAGATATTTCTCATGCAGTTGGTCAATCTCTTCGATGGTGGGATTCAGGTTCTGCTTTACAACAATAGGATTCCCAACTACAAAGTAACACAAAAAAAAAAAAAAAAGAGAGAGAGAGAGAGAGAGAGAGAGAGAGACTTATATTACCTCCATTGTCATCTGTAGAAATGAGGGATCTGGTACATGTCACCCTCCACATATTGGACTGCAGCTCCCAGCTATTGCATTAGCTGGCTGTGGCTGATGTGAGCAGCAATCCAACAACCTCTGGGGAGACCATACATCTGTCACCCATACTATAAATTCTCTGCTTCAAATTCAAGATCTTCAGGGTTGTTGTTTTTAATTAAATTGGCATTTTCAGTGATTGCCTTCATTCTTGTTTCTCATGAAACATGGGAAAAATTATCCATATATTTAAAGGTTTTTGTAATCACAAGCTATCTCAAGGATGATCAAATATATGAAACAAGGTGTGAAAGCAGAGAACACTGAAATTCTCTTTAAACTTCCCTAGTTATACAAGATGCCTTTCCTTATGGGACACAATCCACAATGGCCACTAAGTCAAATGATCATTTTCTGGTTCAACAGTTCTGAATAAACAACTTGATTGTAAACTTTTTGCAGATCTTTCCATTTCCAAAGGTTAGTGATTTTGCTCAAACAGTTTTATCCATCACATATTACTTGCACTTCCTAATGGTTTTCGTTTCTTTTTGCAATTTTCATTTAAAAGCTTGAATTAGCATCTTGAAAGAGCAGCTCTGTGCTAAAAAGATTTTTGCTGGTTAGATTTTAAGTAATAGTATCACTCATTATTTTAGATTCTGGTCTTTTGTGATAGCATCCACTCCCTTTTTCAGCCTCTTTTCCCAAATGATACTTAAGATGTGTAAATACACTGAACCTCTTAACATCCTTTGTTTGCCTATCACATTATACTGAGAGGTGTACCAGAAAAAATGCTACATATCAGAAGAGCACTTCTCTTTATCAAGGGTTCAGCCAGAAGTGGTTTTTAGTCATTTCTCCATATCACTTCTTGCAAAAGTGGTTTGAACTTCTCTTCTAGTTCTTTAAATGCCATTGAAAAAAAATGTTTTACAAGATATTAACAACAGAGCCTGTTCTTAGAAGTCTGTAATTTGAAAATAACATTAATACACGGAATTCAACACATTCTCTAATTCCTCTAAGGCTTGCTTCTGAAATTAGTTGCCCTTCCATTCTCACGGACTTGAAGTCCATGGTTTTGAATATTAACGGAGGGGTAACCCCCGTTAAAATCAATGGGGTGTGCCCCTGTGGGTGCGAACCTGCAGCTGCCTGCAGGGGTGTGCCCCATGCAAGCCTATGGGCCTTGAATATTGCCAAGTCTCTGTTTTCACAGGGGGGGCATCCAGAACAGATCCCTCACAAAAATGGAGGGCTGACTGTATTTCCCCCCTACTCCTATCTTTAAGGTTTGCTCAGATGTCAGTGTCCCCGGTAACCAGATTATTGCTACAGAACTAAACTGGAGGAGGGAAAAATATTTGCACTGAGGCACTAAAAGCCTTTTCTAAGCACTTGATGCTTCATCTAAAAGAAAAGGCAGAATCCCATCAGTGTTTCAGACCAGACATGGGCAACCTGTAGCACTCCTGATTTTGTTGTACAGCAACTCCCACGTTAGTTAGCATAGCCTATGGTCAGGGATGATGGGGGCTGCAGTTCATCAATAACATCTAGAAGACCATAGGTTGCCACCGTATTTTAAAAGAATAACATTCATCCTGTTTTAGGTAAGTAGCCAGAACAGTAAAGCTTTACAAATCACTGTTTATTATTAATATTTGCAACTTCCCCTTTGTCCTGGGTGACCTGCATGGTGATTATCTTATTTCATTTTCACAACAACCCTTTGTGGTAGGTTAGGTTGAAAGAAAACAGAATTGCTAAAGACAATGGAAGTAACATGATTCACAAGCTTCCAAATTTAGCCAGCCAACTTCTTGGTTGAGGGGGAATGGAACCCATTTTTCTGGTCCAAATCCAGCACCCTATGCCTACTAGACCTCACTGGCTTTGTAATAGATGATGTATCGATAACAAGTGATACACAGAGCTACATTATATAGAATATTCAAAATGAACAAGCACACTATATCCTTCGTGCTGCACATATGATAACACAACACAACCAAAGGGGAAGAGAAGTAGAGAGAGAAAAGTACATAACAAAATATTTTAAAAGATCAAAATGTCATCCTCAAGCAATCCTTCTTTTTAAACACTACTGTGCAGAAAAGATGGAAAAGATTATTGGTTAGGGCTCATAGCCACAAATATATACATTTAAATATGCAAATATGGAATTGAAAGTTTCCAAACCAACATACCGACTGTGTGGATAGTTTTCCTATAAGGCATCAAGCCAAAACTATATTGAAAGATCCCTCTGCCATGAAACAGAGGCATAGCAAACCCCATAATCTTCTGCAGTTTCTCTTGCCATGTTCTGAGCCATGATCCTTTTGGGTTGGCTATTTGCTTGAACAGTTCATTTTCACCAAAAGAAAACACTGGGACCAGCTGAGCCCTTTCAGGAAAAAAAAAAACAGTACACTTCACTGACACAGTTTACACCAATGGTTTGACAAATAAATCAAGTTAAAGGGATCAAAAGGAGATTGTCAGAAATCATAACATTCAAGCACAAGACGTTCATAAAGTTGCACTGTAATACCAAATGATATATTATTTTCTAAGTAATTCATTTAGTAAACTATTGGCCTTAAGTAAACTTTAACAAAGCAGTAAAACTAAGCTGCCATTTATTTCAATAAATGCAATATGGAGGGCCCAGTAAACTATGTGCTTGAATATTACAGAAAACAATGTGAATTAGGCGTAGGACCATAAGTGTCATAATGAGTATTCCCCAGATTTCCTGCCATAGTATATAAATATATGATTTGTCTGCTTGTGATATTTTAATGCTGAATTTAATTAAGTATTGGATGATGGGAGGTGTTGTCACAAATTATTGATGATGTTGGCTGGCTACATTCTTTGGGGTGGTTAATGGACAGATGTGTCTGGAGCAGAGATTGGGCTGGGAGCTTCAAGGCCAGTCTTATGAATGGCTGGTATGGTGTTTGAAGGAGACAATTCTGGGAAAGAGGAAATGTGAAAGTGTTTAGAACTATGGGGTGAATACAATGTTCAAAATTTGAATTGTTATGTGCTTTAATTATGTGGCGTAACCACTTGTACTTCAGCCCTGACATCTGCTAGGAATGTCTTTGGTTTCTGAATAAAGTTTTAGAATTCTCAGCCAGAGAACTCTTAGGTGTCACTGAACTACAAATGCCAGAATGCCACAGGAGGCAACCAGAGCCGTAAAAGTGGAACAGAAGCAATGTAAGAGTGTAGTGTGGTAATCTTCATAATGTACGCATAAACCTGAATTCTGTTGGTTAGTCACAAGTGCAGCAGACTCATTACATTATTTGCTGACTGGTGGGGCAACATCTAGGTAAATCTGTCTCAGTCAACAGGTCTACTCTAGATGGAACTAACAATAGGATATATGACAGGCTAGTTTTCAAAGTTTTTGTATACATTATTATAGGAAGCTAATTATATAAAATTACATTAGTGGTCCACCTTGCTTAATATCCTGCATATTGTATGAATGTATAACTAATACAGGGGTAGGCAACCTTTCCCCTTTCAGGGCCGAGGGACTTCAGCTCCCAGAAGCCTCAGTCATGTTGGCCAATAGTCCCATGTTGGCCAATAGCACCTGGGATTCTGGGAGCTGAAGTCCCATGGCTACCCCTGCCTACCCCTGAACTAATATATTCAAGAGCCAGAATGGTGCAGTGGTTTGATCATTAGATTACAACTCTGGAGACCAGGGTTCAAATCCCTGCTCAGGCATGGAAACCCACTGGGTGACCTTGGACAAGTCACATTCTCTAAGCCTCAGAGGAAGACAAATGCAAATTCTCTCTGAACAAATATTGCCAGGAAAACCCTATGACAGGTTTGCTTTCAAGTTGCCATAAGTTGACTTGAAGGCACACAACAAAAACAAAAACAACAACACATAAATAATGTGGGTTTGTGATAGAATCTTCACTGCTCTTGATTTGCAAATCTCCCCAAATTACTTAGATACATGTTTGAAAAATATACTCTTAAGACATTTAGAAGAGGCACAAGAATAATTTCCTTTGTGGTAAGAGAAACATGATTTTGATGGCTGGACTCAGGAAATTACAGCTGGAGATCTCTTCTACCCAGACATAAAATTACATGAAACAAGAGGTGCAATACATTTTGAAATCAGAAATAATACCCACAGGAAGAGAAGGTCTGTAGGGTTGCTGTTGGCTAATAGCTCATTTACAAATAGTGATTACAGACACACAGCAAAAAATAGGAAGTTACCACATATGCAGTTTCACTATTGTAGTGTGATAAAGTTCAATCAGTTGTCTGAACCTTTTACACAGAGTTAAGGCCCACTGTATTCAATTGGGCTTATTTTTGAGTAGGCATGCACAGAAACCTAGAGCTGAAAGGAGCCATAAGCCACAAACAAAAGGGTACTTTACATTTCACTACAAGTACTTATTTGGTTCTTGTTTTTCACAGTACAGGTGATTTCATCTTCTTCTCCTTTTTTATATAGTTCAGCATACCATCCATCTCATCCTAGTTAATACTTGCATGAAGAATTATCAAGAGATAACGTACAGCTAAGAAAGAATCTTACACAAAACCTTTGGATCTAGACTATCAAAAAGACCAACAGTTCATGGCCTGTGCCATAATCTTCTCTTGGTCTTGTTTTTGCAGAGAGAATGGAGCTCCTCCATCTTCTGCTTCCAATTATGAAGTCTATCTGATTTCTATATTAGCTATCAGATGACATCTGATGAACCAGTTGCTTCTGGTTGCTTGAAGAATCTGTTTGCAATGAACAAACTGTTGGCCTCGCAAAATTCAGCCACTCCTATGATTCATTCCATGATCTTACTCCAAATTTTCCTACAATCTTTGATTCTACTGTTTCCCACTTTTGCATTTCTGCAAAATCCTGTTTTGATGTGTGCTCAGTTTCCTATTGGACTACAGTATAGAATCTTTCAATTTCTTCCTCATCTGCCTCTGTAACTGGACCATGAACTAGGATTATGGTTATACTGATAGGTTTTTCCTGAAGTCTTATTGATACTGTTTGGTCAGACTTTGCGCTATATCTGTTGACTGCTTTTGCTATATCTCTTCTATTAATGCCACCCCATTTCTTATTAGATTTTCATTTCCTGATTAAAACTCTGTGCAATTATCTGACTCAAATACCCCATTCCTGTACACTTTAGCTCACTACCACCAAATACTGTAATGTTGATATATTCTGTTTCTTGTTTCATTATGTCCAGGCTTCCCTTGATTCATACCTTTCACATTTCATGTTCCTATAATATGTGTTGTGCAGCTTTGGACTTTCCTTTCAGCTCTGAGCACATGAACAGCTCAACATCTTTTTGGCTTGAGTCCAGTTGCATCATTAGCCAGAGTGCTACTCGTAGTTGTCCTCTGCTATACCTAAGTAGCTTGTTGATTGCCTTCTGATCTGTCATCTTCTGGCACTGTCTCTTGTTTAGTTTTGGATTGTCTCATTATAGGGCTTCAACATTTAAAAGAGGCTTATTGTGCCTCCTTCTGTACAGGACTAACAAGTTTTAGTTATGGTGACACTGCCATTGTTTCTGCCATGTGTCACCCCCAAATACTGCTGCTGCCCAGTATCTGTTTGATACATTTAGTCTAGCTCTTCAGCAAAAGCCTGTCTGACATGGAAGACCTTACCATCAGAAAAACCTCATGTTTCACAGGTGCATGCAATCCCACCATCATGGAAAGGAAGTGCCATGGTTGGTGGATGAATCCTACCCAGCTCATAATTGCCTGTGTGGATTATAATAATTATCAAAATATGTGTTGTGTAGCACCTAATGACTTTAGGCCCTTTATAAATTATCACCATCAATAATAATAATGACAATAACAGTAATAATAATTAAGGAGCCTAGAATGTCTTTAGGTTTTCTAACAGTGGTACTCCCCCATCTGTAGGAAAGGCAAAGTTGGTCTACAGCTAACTAGTCAACCATTGTCCATGCTAACTGGTAGATGCTAGAAACTGAATTCCAAAAAGTAACTCTTCCACACTCCAGAGGAAGCCCCACCAGCACTCCTTCAGGGAAGACTACCACTCCTGCACAGAAAAGCACCACTAAGTCTCCTTTAGAGAAAATAGAGGCCTGTTCCATCATCCACTCCTCTCGTCTCTCTTCTCCAAGGCTACTGCCTGACTGTCTGCTTGTTTCCTGCTGAGTAGTACCATCTAGATACTTGCAAGAGTTAAGCACTGAGACTCCTGCAGAAAGACCTGTGTCCATCATATTGATGAGCAACTAATGAGGATTTTATTTTTAATACATTATAGTTGTCTATTATTTTAGTATTTTAGTATATTATAGTGTTGTGTTTTATTCTCAATTCAATATGTCTGATGTTCTGCCCTTTGATGAAAAGGGAATTATAAATAAACATTATTACTAACTCTTCTAAACCCCAAAGAATCTGCTCTGCTTTGGAAGATACCCCCCACTAAATAATGCCTACTAAAGACCTACTACTGCTTAGGAAATAAGGACAAATGGCCTAAGCTGCCTTAACAACACATACACAATATGGAAAGTTCATTGCTAGGATATAGCATACATTCATTGTCAAGCCAAAAACAAGTTCTTAAAATCTTGTCTGAAGA